GCGCACACACACGCGCGCAACGAACTGTTAGGGAAAAAAAAGTAATTGTTTAGGCATCCACACACAATATATGTTCGGGCGCATTCGAATATGTATCGCGGCAACGGGCTCGAAAATCGAGCGGACGACAGAACGGTACGTACCACCAACAACGCGAGCAATTTTTCGAATAATTTGTATTTTTTACCCGTGGCTGGACCTGAACTCAAAAACAGCGTGACCGCCGCCGGACCCAGCGAGAAATACCAATTTGGTCTCAGAAATATACTATAAAGTACAAAATACCACTATAAATACCATAACAAATAAATCGCCTGGAAATTCAAATTAGCCACTTATTTGCGAATAATTCGAATAAATTTGTGATTAAACTAATGCACTAAAGTCAACTCAATGTCATAGATAGAGTGACCTGTGACTTTTACTGTGATTTTTACACACTCGCCAAAAAAGTCGCGCGTTCGAATTTAATTTTTAGAATTCAGAATTCTCATTTATTAAATACAAATTTTCAATAAAAAGCCTTTGGTTTCGTTTTTAGAACACATTTAGAACACTTCAGGCGGATGCGAATATTGATTATTGCCCTCAGGATAGCAATCGTTTGAAATTCAGAATTCTCATTTATTAAATACAAATTTTCAATAAATTCCAATGGCTTTGAGTGTGCTCGAAGCCATGCAAATCCTTTGCATTCTTGCAACATCAACATAATCGGGATCTCATAAGCAACAGGCGAGATTAATTAAAAGCGAAGCATGTAAAAATGGATCTCATAAAGGAACCAACCAGATCTATTATTTTAGTTTTTTGTTCCTTTTCTTAAGTGTTCTTAATTTTATTAGATATTTATCTTTGCATAGATGCTCAAATTTATTGAATAAACCTTTATTTTTGCGAGTGCTAGGATGGTGTCTTGGCTATGACTGTATATTCGGTATATACCGGGAAAATACCAGACACGCAGACGGTATTTCGAGTACGGTCACACGAAAACATTGGAGGGTGTCTCGGCTATGGCTGGACCGTGCTTTTGGGCAGATTTAGGTACAATTATTTTCCCAACCGACTGGTCGCACTGGCTGCGTTTATGCTGCCAAATTTGCGATCTTGCGAACAATTTCGAACTTTATAAACTCAGGACAAATAATTGGGTTAGTGGCCTTTGCCCCGCAACCCGCAGAAGGGAAACTACTTCTGACCCGACGCCTGGCCAGTTGCCGAGCCGAAAGGAGGTTCGGGACCAGGTGCACAGTGGGCCCCACAACCCTGGACCCCCACAGTTCTCGATTCGCGCGCCCGTATGATCGAAGTACTTGCTCTTTCTTTCTTTCAGCCCAGAATTGCCTTTTCCCGGAGCTCCGAATTGGCTGCAAAATGAGGCAGTCCACGACTGGCGCGGACCGCAGGGGCAACCACCAGGTGGCAGGCCACTAGCTGGTACAGGGGCAGCAGCAACAGGATCCGCAGGAGCAACAAGTCCCTGCACGCAACAAGTTACCATAGACGACCGACGACAGTCGACAAATCGCCTCCAAAGGCACCCACGTCCAATCCATAATCACATCACATAAGCGCGATGAGCCCCTTCAGCTCCAAGAAGAACCGCTCCCTCTCCGTGCGGGTGAGCACCTTCGACTCGGAGCTGGAGTTCAAACTGGAGCCGCGCGCCTCCGGCCAGGATCTGTTCGATCTGGTGTGTCGCACCATCGGGCTGCGTGAGTCCTGGTACTTTGGGCTGCAGTACGTCGACACGCGCAGCAATGTCTCCTGGCTGAAGATGGAGAAGCGGGTGCGGGATCAGCGCGTCGAGCTGCACGCCAGCAACAATGTGTACGTCTTCAGCTTCTATGCCAAATTCTTTCCCGAGAACGTCAGCGAGGAGCTAATCCAGGAGATCACACAGCACCTGTTCTTCCTGCAGGTCAAGCAGAGCATTCTCTCCATGGACATCTACTGCCGGCCGGAGGCATCTGTCCTCTTAGCCTCCTACGCGGTGCACGTTCAGTATGGCCCCTACGACTACGAGACCTACAAGGACGGCATGCTGGCCGGCGGCGAGCTCCTGCCCAAAGGGGTGACCGATCAGTACCAGATGACGCCTGAGATGTGGGAGGAGCGCATCAAGACCTGGTGGGTAGACACACACACAGCTTAAAGCTACTGGCTGAATCTCTGCTTTTCCCAACCCCCGATCCAAACCCAGGTACATGGACCATGAGCCCATGACGCGCGACGAGGTGGAGATGGAGTACCTGAAGATTGCACAGGACCTGGACATGTACGGAGTGAACTACTTTCCTATTACAGTGAGTAGTCTTGGCTCCCGGTTCCCTCAAGCAAGTCTAACCCAATCCCCACCAGAATAAGAACAAAACCAAATTGTGGCTGGGCGTCACCTCCGTGGGCCTGAACATCTACGACGAGCGCGACAAGCTAACGCCAAAGACCACGTTCCAGTGGAACGAGATACGGCACGTCAGTTTCGACGACAAGAAGTTCACCATTCGCCTGGTGGACGCCAAGGTCTCGAATTTCATTTTCTACTCGCAGGACTTGCACATCAACAAGATGGTACTAGAAATCCTTTCTAAATCGAATCGATTTTATATTAATTTCATCCGTGCCCTGCAGATTCTCGACCTGTGCAAGGGCAACCACGATCTGTACATGCGAAGACGCAAGCCAGACACCATGGAGATCCAGCAGATGAAGGCCCAGGCCAAGGAGGAGAAGCAGCGCCGCCAGATCGAGCGCAAGAAGTTCATCAGGGAGAAGAAGCTGCGCGAGAAGGCGGAACACGAGCGTTACGAGCTGGAGAAGAGCATGGAGCACCTGCAGAACGAGATGCGCATGGCCAGCGACGCGCTGGTAATCCTTATGCCACAAATCCTTCTTATTAATATAATCCTGTATGTGTCTCCTGCATTTCAGCGCCGCTCCGAGGAGACCAAGGAGCTGTACTTCGAGAAGAGTCGCGTCAATGAGGAGCAGATGCAGCTCACCGAATGCAAGGCGAACCACTTCAAGACGGAAATGGACCGCCTGCGCGAGCGACAGATGAAGATCGAGCGGGAAAAACACGAGCTGGAGAAGAAGATCCGTGATGCCGACTTCTATGTCCACCAGCTGACGGTGGAGAACGACAAGCGGGAGGCCGAGACGGAGAAGCTGCGCAAGGAACTGATCTGCGCCAAAATGGCGGAGCGTGAGGCCACCGCCCGGCTGCTCAACTTCCTCAACAGCGGTCGCAAGTCCTCCACGGACAGCCTGCTGACCGCCTCCAGTGTCTCGCATGCTGCCAACACGGCGTCCAGCATGGCGGCCATCAGCACGCCCTCGCTGACCACCAGCAACTCGACAAACGACATCGAGACAGCCGGCGGCGCCGAGCTGACCACCCACTCGTCGCACTATCTGGCCCAGGGGGACAACTCCAGCGGCATCTCCGATGACTTTGAGCCCAAGGAGTTCATCCTCACCGACAACGAGATGGAGCAGATCACCAACGAGATGGAGCGCAACCACCTAGAGTACCTGCGCAACTCCAAGAAGCAGGTGCAGAACCAGCTGCAGACCTTGCGCTCCGAGATCGCGCCGCACAAGATCGAGGAGAACCAGAGCAACTTTGACATACTCAGCGAGGCGCAGATCAAGGCCGGCGAGAACAAGTACTCTACGCTCAAGAAACTCAAGTCCGGTTCCACCAAGGCGCGCGTGGCCTTCTTCGAGGAGCTCTGACAAGCTCCTGAACTCGACTAGCTGTAAGATATCTGGTGTGTGCCCCTGTGCGCGTGTATGATGAGTGCCTTAACCTTAGTTGTATACTGTACTAAATGTTCTTCGATTGTTTACTCAAGCCGCTGCTGTAATAAACCAATTACAAGGCCTGGACCTACTTGCATGTTGTGTTCAGGTCGAGAGATATTTACCTACATAATACGAATTTGTCAATTATTGAGGAGGGATGGCCCATGTTGGAGTTGAGTTCAATTGATTTAATGTCTTAATATCATGAGAGTGTATCAGACCAAACTAACTAAACTACTCTTAACTAGAGACAATGTTCTGGTTAACTTTCTTCGCACACTTTTCCTTTTTTTTTGATTTTTTGACCCTGATTTGTCGTTCGTAGGTTTAACGTCACATTGAAAAACGAATTTATTTGTAGGAACAATTTAAGTTCAAGCTAACCAGAACCTTGACATGGCTAGAGGGTATAGCCATAGATATGAAGAGTACGCCGACCCATTTGTAATATCGCTGTCTTTATCTAAACCAGGATCTGAAACCGAGTTTATTTGAGCCACCCTTAGTTGAGGCAGTCCCTTTTTTAGATATATATTATAGTCGAGATTTCGGAACCATTATATAGCAACCGAACCCACTTTTTTTCAACAAGTAAAACGAAATCGGATATAATCTAAAACCAAAGTAGCTTTATTTATGTTTTAAAACGTGATCATTTACATTTAATTACTTAGTTTCACTTCCATCACTAAACAAATAAACGTTCCGATCGCCTTTGCATCGGTCCAGCTCCAGTACCTGACCACCCACCCAATCCTCCTCCGTTGAAGTCGGTTCACCTGCGTACACTTCACTCCGGCGAGCTGCGGTATATGTTTAGTAGTACTTACAGGGTATACATTGAATTCATACTTTATATAGACAGTGAGCGCACGAAAGGAAACGTTTCGAAAGTGTGTGAATTAAGGGGGATGTGATCACCGATCAGAAATGGGGCCGGACCCCACTAGACCCGCCCAAAGTCCCAAAAAACTCGGCTAAACACATGCGAATGCTTAGAGTAAATTACAAATTAGTATTGGGGATGACTCTCTCTTTTACTAAGGAATTTTAAATAGTTTTACGTCTTTTGTTAACACCATGGAATATTTTGATATATATATATATATACCTATATACACACATAAAATTACAGTAGATATCGTTCAACATGCAAATCGCTTGTGTGCAAATAAAGCCTATAGGCAACGAACTTTTTACACTTTTATTATTTTAAACGGATGGGAGGTTTAAGGTAAATAACGCTTGGAGATTACTCTTACATTAACGAATCGATAACCATTTTGACTACTTGTATTGCTTGTATACATATTCTAGCATATCAGCATGTAAAGATTTCGCCGCTTACTCCGCGTTATTGCATTTAGCCGATATCTACTGTATGTTGTCCCGTTTTTCACTTTCATTTGCAGAACATTTTCGGATTGCGAGAAAGGGAGGGGAAACAGAACCAATAGCACCCGATTGCTAGGACTTAAACCTCTGATCCTGAAGCACACAACTGGAATTTACACGAGTGTTCATGGCAATCAAGTTACATTATCAATAATGACACAAGAGAGCACAAACCTGTTCAAATTTATTGAAAAACAATCAAGTTCTCGGATAGTTTGAATGCGCAAAAGGGTTCTGTTTGGGAGTGTTGTGTGTGTTTGTGTGTGTCTGTGTCTGGGTGTGCAGGATATATGCCTAACATATGCATATTCAAATTGGGTTTCGTTTAACACATTTCCGCTTAAAGGGTTCTCAGGTGTCTTACAGAGCTTTCGGATCTCTCCAAAACGTTCTCAAAATGTAAATAATAAAAAAAAATGATATCAACTACGCAAGTGCCGACACTTTGGTATGCGATCTCTATTTATCTCTCTCACCGGCGACGTATCATCTAATATCTGCCGTTCTCTAGGCGCCCCATGCTCGTGTGGAATTGGTGTCTGTGTGTGTGTTGTGTTCGGTTATGAAGGATTCAAGATATTTCCGGCTTAATGGGAGGAATAAGCGGCAATCAGCGCCGACCGTTGAATTTGTGTGTGGGGTTCCGGGGGTTCTGGGGGCTGGCTTTAGGACAAGGACCCCGTCCCCCTTTCTCGTCATCTTCTCGTTGTGTTCTCATTCGCGTTCTCCAGGGCTATAGTGGTAGATATAGATGTAGTTCGTAGATATATAGACAGGTTGTGTACAGTTTGGAAATGGCTTAACGTTGTTAACTCAGGGACAACTGGTTTAGGGACAGTAGTCGCTCCACTGCCGCATTAATGTCCCCGAAGGTGGCGATCAGAGCTGCGGGGTGCACAAGAGATTTCGATTAGAATTGGGATTGTCAAGCTACTAGTAACAAACTCACCCTGCAAGTTAGCATCCCGATTGGCGAAGCCCATCGCTGCCAGTTGCTCCAGCTGTGACTGGTAGCGCACCTCCGGCGGCTGTGTGCTGTCCGCGTTGTTCGACATCCCGTTGAGCATGCGCATCATGAAGTCGTTGAAAAGCTGCGCGTTGGGACCACCGCCCGGAGCCAGGCTTGGGGCGCCGGTGGCGGGGTTGCCGGCATTGAGGCCGCTGCTAGGCGAAACGTTGTTGGTGGTGGTACCGCCGCCACTTCCATCGCCGCTGGCCGGATCCGTGGCGGAGTTGACTCCCGGCGGTGGCGGTGGAATGCCCAGGGTGCCAACAAGACCGGGGGCCGCGCTGCGCAGCTGCTCCATGCCCTGCTGGATCTGCAGGATGGCGTTCATCGCATCGGGGTTGGTCAGCATGTTCATCACCTCAGGGTTCTGCATCTGGGCCATGAATTGCGGCATCATCTGACGCACCTGCTCCTGCAGGGCGGGGTTGTTGGACAGGAGCGGGCTGCTGCTCAGCAGGCGCGAGGCCATGTCCGGGTCCTGTGACATGGATTCCATCATGGAACGCGTGTAGGGCGCGTTCAGCAGGTTCTGCATCATGGCCGGATTGTCGGCCATCTGCTGGAGCAGGCTGCGCATGGCCGGCGTGTTGAGAACATTGTTTGGCGGCAGATCTCCCGTTCGGTTGCCAGTGCCGCTGCCGGCTCCAGTGCCATTGGTTCCCGAATTGGCGCCGCCGCCGCCCCAGGGATTCGGCAATGGGTTGCGGTTCTCGGTGCCCTGTTGCGGATTGATGCCGGCCCCCACACCGCCATCGACTAGCCCGGCGAAGGGGTTGCGACCAAAGGATTCGGTGGCCGCGTTCATCATCGGCTCCTGGATGTCGCGGTAGATGCGCTGCAGGGCACTATAGCCGCCCGGCACTGACTCCAGATTGGACATGGCCCGGTCGTGCGAACGCATCAGCTCCTGGAGCATCGAGGGATTGCGGGCCAACTCCATGGTCTGGCGCAGCAGGTCCGGATTGTTGAGCATGTGCGAGATCTCCGGGTTGCGCTGCATGAGGTCCTGCATCTGGGGATTCGATGTGATCAGCTGGCGCATCGTATCCGGATTGTTCATCATCTGCTGCACCAACGGATTGTCCATCAGGGAGCGCAGCATGTCGCCGTTGTTGAGCAGCTCGTTCTGCATGCGCGCCTGCAGGTCCATGAAGGTGTTCGATCCGGCTCCCAGGGCCTCCATGCCGGCCAGGCCACCGAACTGGTTGAGGCCAAAGGGCGTTTGGCGCACATCCGCCGGTTGGCGGGCGGGCACCTCGTTGTTGCGCGTCGGCGCCTTGATCACCAGATGCACCGTCAGGTTGTCCTTGATGTTGTGCATCTTCAGTGTGTCCGTGTCCTTCATAATTTTGCCGGCAAAAATGAGCACTAGCTGCTCGGGCTCGGCCTCGAACTTTTGTGCCACCAGAATTTTGAACTGAAAGTCAGAGGTAAAGTTATATATGCGTTTTATTGGGGGATCGATTTGTTATTTTTTTGTGTGTGTGCACGCACATTAGCCACCCTTTATTGTGGTACCTGTACCTATGACCACACCGAGCAAAGTGCACTGTACCCGCAAAGCAACGTTATGGCGGTGTGTGGCTTAGGCAAAGTGCACTGTACCCGCGATTACAGGCATTAATTGTCCATGATGGAGGGCGGGGGCGGAGGGGAATCGATGGGAATGGGAATGGGCAGGGGCAGCGAAGGGGCTTGGGATCGCCCAGGGTCACCACACCACCGGAATGGGTCACGCGCACCGCACTCACCTCTCTGATTCCAGAATCTTCGTCAACCTCGACCGTCTTCTTGTCCTTTGGCGTTTTTACAACCACGTTGATGCGCTTGCTGCCGCCTTCCGCCATTTCGATGGTGTAGTTGTCGCGTTTTCGTGTTGTTGGTTTGCCTGCGCCGATTTAGCTCGCTTGTGTCTAAATTGTGTAAGACTTGAATTTTTGTTGGTGCTCTGGGTAGATACGTGTTTTCAAACTAAATTATTTCCCATTTGATGAAAAGTAATTCGTCACTTTCTCACTCACACCCACACACACAGGCACACACATACGCTCGATTCGATTTTTCGACGTCGGATTCCAGGGCTGTCAAACTCTATCAGGTATCGATGTATCGATGAGCGATATCACGGACGCGACGACCGCCTGTTAAGCAGTGCGCACTGCTTAGAAATGCGGTTTCCCGCAAAACCGTTGCACAAATTCGACTCTAGTGCAGAGTAATTCGAAATGCGGGCGGAAAACCAACTATCGTATCGTTGAGTGGCGCTGTCCAGCCCTCGTCATATCGCGTATCGGACTGCGATAAGTTCCGATAAACCGATAAACAGAAAATAACCAAAAGCAACGCGAGCGGGGGCAGGGAGGAGAGCGATCGCCGTCCTTAGCCAACTGAGGATTCGATTCAGCCAGAGTCAAGCGAAACCAGAAACAAGACAACGAGCGGTGCAAAACAAACAATTGGCAGTGCGGTTAGTGGCCAGGAGTATCCTTGAGGCCCTGTGAAAAACGCAGCCACACCTGGGCAGTGAAATGTTTAAGAGCCACTTCCAGGAACGCAGCGTATAAACGGTTTCCGAGAACTGTCCACCAATACAAAGCCAACAAGTGCCACGGCCAGCAAGGTGATTTTGTGTGTGTGCGAGAGAGCGGCTCGTCGGTGTGCGCGTGTGCCTGCGTGTGTGAGTGAGCGAGAAGAGCAAGAGCGAGAGAGGTGAATAGAGTAGACCTTAACAACAGCAGCAGCGGCAGCTGGAGAGGATTGGTATTAGGATTGTGGACAGGAAGATGTTGCTCCAGGCGCAGCTTGTCCTGCTCCTGGTGCTCCTCACCGGCTGGTGCGGCCGGTGTGGCGCCAAGACCGTTATCATTGAGCCCGGCTGGATGGAGCCCAGCAAGGTAGAGCAGCACATCGGCGGCGATCTTAACATCAGGTGCATGATCAACGAGGAGTACTTCCGGACCAGTCCGGATCACTGCCTCGTGAGCGAGCTGTATGTCACCGGCGGGGGCAAACAGTACCGCGATCCGAAGAACATAAGGATCCTGAACAACACCACCATACTGTTTACCGACACCAATGCCACTGAGCAGGAGCACGAGTACCTGTGCATGTGCGGCGACTATGTGATCAACAAGGCGATGGTCTACGTGGGCACCAGCCCGCTCCTGGTGCGCGACTTCAACTGCCTGGACTACGACTTTCAGTTCATGGTCTGCAACTTCACTCAGCCGCCCAACAAGGTCATCACCAAGTACAACATTAGCTACAATACCAACAACGACTGGCGCTACAGCAACACCCTGGACTGCAACTTTGACTCGGCCCCGCTGGTCACCTGCAATCTCACCGATGACAACTACAAGCGCTTCAGCGAGACCTTCTACTTCCGCCTGCTGATCATGAACGCCTTGGGTCAGGAGACGCAGAACATAACGATCAATCACTTTGAGCGCCTGGTGCCGGCGCGACCTGGCCAGAACCTCACCCTGGTCAACAGAACCGAGAGCTCTGTGTGCCTGTCGTGGGAGATGCCCCGGCGCTCCAACTACAATCGCGGCCTCGTCTGGCAGGTGGCCGTTGATCCGCAGAACTTTGACACCATCAGCCGGCCCAGCTGGCTGAACAACAGCTCCACGATCAAGGACATGCTCTGCCTCACGGAGCTGCCCTTCGCCGGCTACAACTACACGCTGCGTGTGCGCGTGCGCGCCAACCAGAACAACACTCTGTGGAGCGAGCCACTGATCTACGCCTTTGCCACCGCCCCGGCACGACCACGTCGTCCTCCGCGGGTCACCTACGGCAGCTTCTACGTCTACTCCTCGGAGGAGGGCATGCGCATCTACTGGGAGCCCCTGGAGGCGCACGAGCTCAACGGCCCGGACTTTCGATACGTCATCAGCGAGTACCGCATCAATGGCCACAAAGTGTGAGTAGGGGCTATGGGCTGTGGGATAGGTACACTTTTGCACCTAATTAGTCATTGGGAAACCATGGTGTGCAAGGTAGATGGTGGAACGGCGGAGAGATTCACCGGAACGACGACTTCTTGCGAATACGTAAGACAAGCCATACGGCGTAGTATTTGCACATCCAGAAGCGCGGAGGAGGGGAGGGGCCACATTTCCATTGTAGGGGTTCCGTTCCGTTGAAAATGTTTATTTTTAACGATTCGTCCGAAGTGGCGATGTATGGCACACACACTCGTGGATCACGAGTACCCAGTATACCCAGTGTACTGAGTCCAAGAGGCAGAATCCGAAGCAGAAGTGGGGGCAGAAACACGTTCATTAATGGGAATATGGAAGCTTTTTACGCGAGTGCACTTCCACAGAAATCGGAGTAGAACCCGCCCGCAACCTCATCTCATCTTCGGAATCTTTTTTCATTTTCAAACATTTTCTCCCACCTTATGTATGTATATGCTATTGCCCACCTTAAGTTGTGGAAAAGATTTTTTATCAAAAAAATAAAACAAAAAATAAAAACAAATTATAATAGCTGCCAAAAATAGTCAGTAGATATTTCCAGCACACACTTATGTCTCTGTCATCAACAATATCAAACAATAACAATAACACCTCCCAGCGAGATAAGAAAACCGGTGACAATAGCAATTTCAAGCCCAAACTTCTTTGGTATCAAAATGTGAAAACAAAAACACACTTTCCCTATTTTTATACTCGACTATCTGCAAGAGAATTCAGCTCACAATGTGGAAATGCAAAAGAACGGGTTTATTTCTTTACATGTAAATCAAAATAACTGGCTGCGCCAAAATGTATGCAACACAAAGAAGATATTGTATATATGTTGATATTCTAGATGGGAATTCCCAAGTACCGAACGCAATCTTTACTTTTGCCTACGTAAATTAAATTGAATGCTAGCTATTTTTCCTCTTAATGTTCAATTCCAGAAACTGGAAGAGATAATTAAAAAATTGATGTATGTTGATCTAGACCGCATGCTTTGAATGTACATACATAGTCACATTGTGTTTCCCAAGAAGCCCGGCCAAGAAACTTATAAATTCATTTTATGTTTACAATGAATATTTAATTTTTTTAATAATAGTAAAGTCGTTAATCAAAAGTTCTCCTTTAACAATGGTAGTATACATACAAAAAAAGATAAAGTAAAGATGTAATATTAACAGTATACCAGAGGCATTTTAATTCGACTAAATAATATAAAGTCTTTACTTAACAGTTTCAATTTTATTTAAGCAGTCTAGAATTTTGTTAGGGGTTCTATTTTTAAACCAAACATATGTAATTGTTAAGTACTGAGTTGTTGGCTGAACATTTTTACTATTTTGTTAAATAGAAATGTAGAGAGATAATACTCTGGTATGCTCGTAATATTTATTAAGAAAAAATAACATATGTAACGTCAAATTATATATATTTTTCCGCTGACCTTGCGATTCTAGAGTTCCTGGATTTGTAAATATTGTTTTTTTCTCAAGTTGCGACCCTAATCAACGGCAACAGCAATTGGGAAAAACTTCAAAGTTATAAAGAAAAAGAAAACATTTTTGTGGAACTTTTTGTAAAACAAAACAATTTAGTTTTTGGTACTGCGCTTTTTCCAAAAATTGGATTTCGATAAAATTGCATTTAAAGATTTCAATATCTGTGCATTAACTCAAAAACTTGCTAGCCTATGTATAGGGAATAGCTCTGCCCGTTCTCTACCGCAACACGAGCAGTGTAGTACATATAGTTACAAAAGCTGATTTTGAATAAAATTTTAAAAACTTAAATTTTTGAATTTTCCTAGTAGTTGAATAATATGAATTTCAATTGACCCGAAAAAGTCTCCTTCACTGCGTTGCAAACTTCAGACTGAAATCATTTTACCCTCTGTATGGTAAAAAAATAAAAATAAATCGTGATAGCACCCCTAATAACCCGCGTTTCTTCGCCCCTTCAGGAACTCAAGCCTCATCAAGGTGGAGTCGAACTCGGCGATGATCGACCACTGGAACATGAGCGCCGTCCACAGCTTCCTAATCCGAAGCAGCAACAGCGAGGGTGTGTCCGTGAACGCCACCCCGATGACGATTGGCCCCATCAGCAACGTGGACTTTAAGCAGCGCGAGCCCAAGAACATCCGCAGCGTGTACCACCCGACCAACAAGAGCTATACGCTCAGCTGGGAGCCGCCGGAGGACCACGTGGAGCTGAGCAACTACACGGTGTTCTGGTGCGTGCCCAAGCCGGCTCTGCTGTCGGAGTGCGAGGGATCGATCCGCTTCGCCGAGGTGCCCCGTGGAGAGCACCAGTTCACCACGGCCCGTGACCAACTGCCAACGCTCCACATGGCCGTGTCCGCCAACTACAGGTCACACAACCTGGGGCTGCGCTGGACGATCTGCAGCAGCGACAAGAAGGACGACCTGGCCAAGATGGAGCCATCGATTGACGTGGCCACTAGCACCACCCTGACTGTCAGTTGGGGCACGCAGCGCGTCTGTGCGGTGATCCTGGCGGGCTACAACCTGACCTACTGCCAGCGATCGACCGGACGGCCGGACAATTGCACCACGGTGAAGATCGATCGGTACACCAACAAGCACGTCATCCAGAATCTGGTTCCATACACGGACTACAGCGTGAAGATGCTCATGTACTCGGAGACGCGAGCCAGCAAGTACAGCGACGAGCTGGTCAACCGCACCGCCGAGGCGGCGCCCAGCCAGCCGCGGGAGCTGCAGCTGCTCCGGGTGACCAGCGCCAGTGCGGAGCTCGCCTGGAAGCCGCCGCTCCTGGCCAATGGGGTGGTGCGCGCTTACGAGGGCTCCTACCGCTCCCTGCGCGACAACATAACCGAGACATTCCGCGTGAGTGCGGCCGCCGACGAACTAGTGGACAACGAGAAGCCCATCAACTTCAGGCTGGGCAATCTTACGGCTTTCACGCAGTACGAGGTGAGCGTGCAGGCGCGAACGCTATATCCCTCGGAGACCAGCAACGTGATCTTCTTCAGCACGGCCATCGGAGGTGAGTCTCTACTGTAACTTGAAATGCTAACGAATGTGGTTACTGCAGTATATATTT